TAAATATATATACACACACATATTCAACTTATATATGCACACATTGAAGAAAAAAATTAAGAAAAAGAAAAAGCCTTTTGGATCTAGTTTTCATGGTGGCAAACGGCACCCATCCTACCCCACACCACCTTTATATATACATCCCTCTTCACCCAACCCAAACCCACAAAGCCTCTGAGTTTTTCTGCCCCCGACTACCCCCAAAATAGCCAGAGAACAGCCATGAGAATACGGAAGCACGCCAAGATTTCTCCATTGGTATATGCTGCATCTTCATTGAAACCAGGGACTTTGCTTCAGACCCATGTTTGTCAGCTGAATCAGTCACCTTGGGATGTTCTGAGTTTTTTGCCGCCAACAACTCCTCCACCACCACTGCCTCCGCCGTCGTTCCAGGTTAGTTAAATTTAGTCTACACTGACTCCGCTTTGATTCTATAGACAGATCTGTTAAAACCTATTTGTGATTCTTGCCAAATGTCCCTTCATTTTTGCTGTTATTCTTTTTTCTTCTAGGGTTTTCTTAAAACACACCATTAGGGTTGATTAAAAAATATGAATCAAAGGATTTTTGTTGTTTATTTGGGCTTGGGAAAATGAATTCCTTTGTGGGTTTTCACTGTTTTGGTTTATTATAGCTCGGGTGGTTCCATTTTTTCGACAGAATAATTTTTATGCAGGTAAATGGAAATGACGATTTTGATAGAAATGGGAGCTTGATAGAATCTATGACAGCTTTTGAGAGGTAATCTGTTTATTCTATGTTTGATTTGGACTGTCTTACAAGTTTTTCAGTTCTTTATTGATACTAAGACATTTAGGGTTCTGTAATCAATCGGCATTTATGAATTTTTATATTTGCAGATAATAAAATTTTGATTTTTTGAAATTTGAACTGAACTACAATGTTGTCCATTGGATTTCTATTAATAGTGCTGCGTCCATGAAAATGGCTGCGGATGACTTGGAGATCGAGGATATGAAATGGGTTTATTCAGATAGTGGCGGCATCAAGGTCGATGCCGCCATCGGCAAGGCGGAGGAAGTGGCAACTAAGAAAGACAAGGAGATTGGCTTTTGCTGCAAAACTGATGGGAAGGGATGGAAATGCAAGAGGAAGGCTGCGGAAGGGAACTCCTTATGCGAACACCATTCATCTCTAGTACGGAATTACAATAATTGGGCTGCACCGGCAGCCAAGAAAGTCGATAGGGTGGTGGCTGACTCTCGTAGGCACCCACGGGCCAAGAAGGCGGCTTCAACATCTAATCCATACGAGTTCTACTATTACTCGGGGTTTGGGCCACGTTGGGGCAAAAGAAGAGGCGAGAACAATAAGATTAGCAGCAATCTCGACATGCCTAAATATGTCGATCAAGAACGTGAAATGGTACAATCCTCGTTGTCCCGAATTGACAATGAAGAATCCGATATCGAGGACGAGATTGAGTATGAAGAGGAAGACGAGGAGAGGAGCGAGAGCGAAAGCAGGAGGAAGAGGGCTCGGAAGCCGATTAAAGCCAGATCGTTAAAGTCTCTGATGTGAAGGGAAAATTTGGTGTAAAAATATGTTGCATTTGTTATAATGGCAGGTTTCTTTTTCTAGTCTTGGGTGTTTCCAGTTTACATGGTTTTTTGACTAGTAATTCAAGAGAATGTCCTTGGGTAAATAACAAGGGTAGAATTGTAATTTTCATCTTAATGCATTTATGTGTTTATTGATGTTTTGTGAAATAATAAAAAATTCATCATCTACAAATTAATAGTATATTTTTGCTATTTAATTAATTAATATTTTAATCATTGCAATTTTCTTTTGTAAGTATGAAGCCGTGACAAGTTTCTTCATTATGTACAAACTATATTAATTCACATAATTAAGAACAAGTTTATAATTTTTTTAAAAAAATAATTCTCATAAAAGAAAAATCATATAATAATATAGAAAAAAAAAGAAAAATCCTAAAATGCTATTTCTTCCTATATTTGTGGAAATAG